TTCTGAGAAAATGATTGATTGATTGTGGAAAACAAACCTTGAGAACATCAAGTAAATATGAAAATATGCGATTCCGGACATAAGCCCGATGCTTCCAATTACCATTGTATGATTTTTGCTGCCATGATCACCCAAGAACTTTTTCAAAATAAATTAAGAGTAGAATTACATTTTTTTTGCTGCCACCCAGTCCAAGAATGCTGAAGCTAGTTGGCGTGCCTTCATTGACATACCTGTCTGAGATCCAGTAACGAAACATGGGAAAGGATTGTAAATTATTGTTACAAAGACTAACACTTTCCTAAAGGAACTTTAAATTGCTATACATTTGTGAATTGCTTTCAGTTTACTTGGTTTAAGTAGGCTAACTTGTAAAATAATGTACAATAAGAATGTTTAGTTACTGACTTTTACAATATTGTATTGATTAAATCACGTAACTGGCATTGTATATAATAATCATTGCTTTTGATATAGCGCCTTATCACATCTTCGAGACACCTCAAACCGCTTCACAAGATACATTAATCCATTATTCTACAATTGCACACAGCAGAGTCCCACAAGCAGTTGTTGGTTGAGTGATCAAATTAGTATTTGTTTGGAGAGATTATTACCCCTGGAAAAGCAATCTGCCTATTGACTAACATCATTTGCATAATTTACATCTATTAGTTAATGTACTTGTTTAAATATTTTGAATATTTGTAGTAGTAAGATAGTGTGCTGATTCTGGTTTACCATAACTGAGAGCTAAAACTATTTTTGAAATTAATTTCATTCTTTATAGTTGATATAAAATATTAACAATATTTTTTCGCACAGCAAAATGTCATTTATGTTGAGAATTAAGCATCTGTGAACTCTAGGGAGGGATGAAGGATTATGTAGAATTGATGATACATGGAAATCGGATAATGCTTCTGTGTTCCAATCCAGCATGCTATATGAAATTAAATGCATTGTTGATGCTAAATCTTACTTGAACATTTTCAAATACTAAAGGATTAAAGTTCCACATTTTTAATACAAATGACAGTTCAACCAAAACAAGCTTTAAGATGACCTTTCCTATCAATAAAAGATTTCAGAATTTTCTTCAGGTATGACTCGATTTTTGTTTTGGATATCATACCATACGGCAAAATTACAGCAAGAATATGGCAGGGGAAAAAATCTGAATAGTTAATCTGCTGAAAGGGAAAGTGTTAGCAAGATGTTGCTATTACACAGAGTGTATCATATTCTGCTTTTTATTTTTATTTGTGTTACATAACTGCCACATTTTACCAAATGTCAATTGAAGAATAATGGATTACTGGGTGGAAATTTATGACATCAATATAAATTAAGACTTAATTGAATATGTACAGTCACCTATTTCCTTAATTATAAACATTGTTATGATTAAAATATTAGCAAAAATTATAATAAGCGAACCAATACAGGTAAGCAAATTTCAAATCCCAAACCAGGTTAGCAATCAGTCCTTTGGCAGTTAGATGTCAAAGTCAAACGTTTAAACATCAATTATCTGGATATCTGTAGAATTAATCTGGAGCATTGTTGGAGTCTAAAAACCATAGGCGGAAGGGAACTAGGGAAAGAACACGAAAGGGAGAGAATAGGATTGGGAGAAGAGACTAATGATCTGTCATAACAGTGAAATTTTGGTATTGCTGACTTTTAACGAACAGCCCATCCCTTCCACTATCACTGCTGTCAGGCTGGCACATTTGGTAAATCAAGAAGGGATTGGGAAGTTGACATAAGCAAACTGGACAGCAACATCTCCACCAAGTGAGTCATCTTTGTTTTATCCATATCAGGGGACTACTATTGAGAAGTAGTGATAGAAACCATAGATAGTGATAGCAACATCCCTACCAAGTGAGTAATCTTTGTTGTATCCATATTAGGCGACTGTACTCTTGAGAAGTAGTGATAGGAACCAGTGATAGCAACATCCCTACCAAGTGAGTAATCTTTGTTGTATCCATATTAGGGGACTACTATTGAGAAGTAGTGATAGAAACCATAGATAGTGATAGCAACATCCCTACCAAGTGAGCAATCTTTGTTGTGTCCATATTAGGCGACTGTACTCTTGAGATGTAGTGATAGGAACGGTATCACACCCATGTCAATGTGAGAGTTAAAAATAAATGGGCTATCTTCCATAATGTGTAAATCAGGTGGTGTGTGGAGTTGAACCAGTCTGATATCATTGCTTGTGATCACTTTTACCTATTCAAAATTGTAGACAATATTATTGAAAATACGGGCATTTCAATAAAATGTGTAGAAGGCTGTCCATCTCAAAATATACTCTGTAATACTTGTCGAGCAGCTTAGGTTGCTAGTGGTGCCATGGAACTAGCATTCAGTAGCTCCTGTTTAGTAGGAGTTTTAGATGCCCACAGATGTTCTGTATCTTTTAACATCAGCCTTTTCCCCGCTATATCTCTTAAAACTATGCTAGTTCAATGTCATCCAAAGGACAGCCCATTATTTCACATGACAACAACAAATTACAGTACTACAGCGCCTTTCACCGAGTAGCATATTATGAACCATATATTTCTGGTTGTGGCTTGAAACTTTTGGTTCAGGAACGATAGTCCACCCAGCCATACCATATGACACTCAATGATACTGGTCTGTAATGATCTCAAGGTGACCCACACAATTTTGGTGGTTTATTTCAATCACACATCTCTCCCTGTAGGGTGACCTCAAGGATGTTCTCAGAAGATGAGTGCTCTCATCTTTCAGAATGATTAGATGTGCCCAAGTCCACCTCTGAGAAATTATTTGTTCAATACTTTTATTAATTTGATTGCATCAAATTTATATCTGCACATCATGTAATAATTGAATTGCAGGCATAATTTATAGCAGTTATGAGTAAATCGTGGTACTTTGGACATAGAATAATTGAGCAGTGGCGCCAGCCATAGTTCATTAGTACTTTCAAGGGTGGACAAACTACACAGCATCGCCTACTTGGAATCCTTGTTGTCTTCAACGCCTAAAAACAAAGCAAAGCTGCTATATCAACATTTGTGAGTGGATCACATAAGGTTCCTTATGTTATTTGGAAATAAAATATTGCCTGACTTAGAACAGATTATTTTTCCTACCAATTTAATTTCTTTTGTCTTGTTCCAAGTAAATTGAATGTTGCAGTTATTATTACAAGAACAGACTGCAGTTACTGTTGTAAAGCTAGTTTCTTTTTTAGTATTTTGTCTTCTGTTTATGAAATGCAGTCTTTGATGTCAAGATTTAAAGACTTTAGGGAGTTATCAAATTCTATTTGTATCGTGTGGTTTTTACCTTGGGAAACATCAGCAGGTTAAAAAAAAGATCCAGATTCGATTGAGGTAATGAAAACACTTTTATTCTGAGCAATCACTTGAAAATGACTTTGATATCTAAGGGAATAGAATCTTACTCATCTTTTTATTTCTTAGCTTTAAATTCTGTTGCAATAACACATAAGGTTTGTTCCAGTTTTGAACTGAGAAACATTGGGAGTTTTCTGGTTTACAATTAAAGCAAAAGCATGGCAGTTGTAAATCATTTGTGTATTGGTAATGAGATGTTTGGTTAATGGGTAATACTTTCACTTGACAAAAAATTGACATTACTAATGGTAGAAAGAAGAGAAAAAGCTATGAGGATAAGAATTTTATTGTTTCAATTATTGCAGACAGGAGGAAACTACATAATTGGTTTTCCGAGTCAGTTTGGTTCAGTTAGTGTTAGTTTGGCTCAGTCTCAAAAAAACATCTCAACGCTTTGATCGTGCTTTCGGCCATCCTTCATTTACCCCTCGATTCCAACCCCAGCTCGGGTGCTAGGCCTCAACTGACTACCGCTTTGGGACGTCTTTCTGACGTGAAAGCCGCTATATAAATGTAATTTTGTTGTCTCGTTTCTGGATTAGATAGATGTGGGTTCATGTCCCTCTTCAGGACTTGAGCTCATAGTGAAGGCTGACACTCTAGGGCTATACTGGATAGCACTGTTGTTTCAGTGTCTTTTTTGGTGAGACTTTAAAAAAGCGCTCCAGTCGGCAAGTTATTCTGATAAGATGCTGGAGAGGAAGAGCACAACAAATACTCGTAGTTTGTGAGAGTTTTCAACATGCAGAAGTCCTAAATCAAATCCAAGCTATAATGACTTTAATATGGAGAAATTTCATTTTTTAACAGAATTTCTTCATAAGGAAACAGAAAATTCAGTCCTGTATATCCTTATTTTCAAAATTTCAGATTCCTTGGGACAGTATGATGGAGTTAGAGAAGGATTCCCACTTTTTTAGGAATCCTCTTTTAAATTGTTACATATTAGACATCATTTGTTCAGGGAGTATTTTTTTTTAAAAAAGTAGTCTAATAATAATAATCCTTGCATTTGATATAGTGCCTTATGTCTTCAAGGCCCTTCACAGAATATACTGTAAAGTGAATTGCCTGTATATTTTGTAGGCGAAAGCAGCAGCCAATTGTGCAAAGCAGTGTCCCTCAAACAGTCATGGATTGAGTGATCAAATTATTTTTTTTAATTTGGGGAAGGGATTATTACTCTCGGAAAAGCTACAAATTGACTAACAACCAGGTTCCTATTTACTGCTAGGTAAACAAGTGTAAGGAAACTTGTCTAAGGTTTCGCCCCAAGTGCTCTAACCATTTAAGCTGCAGGGCTCCACCAGGGAGCGGCTCAGAGCACTTAAACATCTCTCTGTAATATCAGACCTTTGGGGAAAGTCAACAAGCCCACTATCTGTTTTCCCTTAATTACATAATTCAAAACCTATTTTGTGTTTAAGATGTACCAGGTTGAAAAAATTAAGGTAATGAGCTCTGAATAAATTATCCTCCCTCATTAGAGTTTTAACTGGAGAACCCCAGTATTTCAATTTATTCTTCTAAATTCTCTCAACTTTTTTTTCGTGTACAAGTAATAATCTAAAGTTCTGTGTTTTACCATAGGATCGAGGGGAAATACTGAAGAAAATGCAACAGATCCAAGAATCATTTCAGACCTCTCCTTTAAAGCTGAAAAACAGGGGCAAGTCATCTGTCAATTTGATGAAGACAGTAAAGAAAGAAGAAAAAGTAGCTCAAGTTTAGTTGTGCAGCAGCATAGAAAAAAAGACTTGGACAGCGATTTTGAGTCTGATCCACCCACTCCAAAGAGCAGTGAAGAAGAGGAACTAGAGGAGGGGTTCCACAGCGAGCAAGGCGAGTTTAATGAAAACGATGTTGAAACGGAACATTTTGGGCAAAGGCCATTGCTAATGGACTCTGAAGACGAAGAAGTGGAGGAGGAGGAGGAGGAAGAAAGGAACAGCTCTGATTCAGACTATGATCAGAGTAAGGAGGTTTATTCTGTATCAGAACCAGGCAATGAGTATAATGCTGATGCTGAAAGTGTTGCCAGTGCAGGGTCAGCAGCAGCGCTCATCACTCCTCCAGATTCACCACGGACCAAAGGGTGCACAACATTGCAAGAAGTGGATGTGTTTGGTGCCGTGCCATTTGTTGGCCTGTCTCAGCAGGCACAACCCAGCAAGAAAGTGGAAAATAAAGACCGTTTTCAAAAGGAAGAGTTTGATGTATTCAGTAATGCGCCTTTTACCAAGAAATTACCTCATACAGTTCGACACGGTGACGGTACTTTGACACAAACCCCACCTGTTTCACCTAATGATGTGGACATGTTTGGTTCCACTCCTTTCCAGCCCCTTCAAACAATGCAAAGTACAGAAGAAAAGGAGGATGTATTTGGACATGTTCCTTTTGAAGAAGTTACAGCCAGCCAGCAGCACAAGTTGAAGCAGCGCAGCTTACAAAAACTTTCTTCCCGACAACGCCGCACCAAACACGAATCTTCCAGTGGAAATGGCAAGCGTCATCATGGCACACCAACAACTGCAAGAAAGCCTTCTAAACCTAGCTATAGAACTCCTGAGCGAACACGGAGGCACAAAAAAGTAGGCAGGCGTGATTCACAGAGTAGCAATGAACTGCTAAATATATCAGACTCTAAAGAGAACATTGGTGTGGCCCTTTCAGATGGAAAAGATAAAAATCAAATGTTGTCAGCTGATGAAAGCCTGCTTGATCCATTTGGTGCTAAGCCATTCCACCCTCAAGAGCTTGTAAGAAATTCGCAGTGCCAAGCTCTAGGTGATAACCGAGGGGACCATAATTCAGTTGTGAACAGATCCAGACCAAGCTCTATACATGGGCCATTTCACACTGAAAATGAGCTAAATACAGATGATTTTGGTGCAGTCCCTTTTACTGAACTTGTATTGCATAGTATTACACAGCAACATGGTGACTTTGATCCATTTGGTGCTGCACCATTTCCTTCCAAACAGTGAATCTTAGTCTTCCAGCACATACTCAATGTGCACTTTGTTCAAAACTCATTCCCCACCACAAGGCCTTAAGAGCAGGGCCCTCCCCCTGCTACAGAATACCTCTTGAGCAGTCATAGTTGGTGAAATCCCAGCTGACTTGCAGTCTCTCCCCTTAAATTCAATTTTCTCAATGTGTGGTAGTAGCTTGTATGATCCACTTCATTCTTAATTTCACATTTTAAAAAGATTTATAACCCCACCTGTTACAAGGGAATTAATTCTTTTTATTAACTTTGAATTTTTTCATGAAAAACGTTCTTTTATTTCTCAATGTGAGGAAGTGAAAGGCGCTATATCAAATGCAAGGATTATTATTCTTATACAGAACCTGTTTAAAAATGTAATCATATGTCCATTAGAAAGGGACTTGATTGAAGTTTTCAAACTGTAACTACACTCGATCATGTAAATTATGCATTTTGCTTTTTCTGAGGTTGAGGACATCCAGCGGAAAGAATTCATTTGTAGAATGTATCCGTATTCCTCAAAATAATCTAGTATCAGGCCAAATTCTATGTGTTCTGCTTATTGGTAAAGTGATCATGATATGCAGCCAGTTTGAGAAGCAGACATTTTTATATACCTGGAGTTGAAATGCCCTTTCATTATTGTGTGATTAATAATTGTTTTGCTTGTGTTCAGCCAAGCTGCTTGTGTGAATGGAAATCAAACTAGCATCCAGCATATAGTATATATTTTATTGCTGAGATACAGTTAAAGTGCACTTTTCAGACTTAGACTTCCACTATCTATTGAGGCTTGAAAATGAACAGGTCTTAACTTTTTGTATTAATAGATTTCATTGTAATTTGTTAAACTTGTCATTTTTATATTTTGATTACAATTTGCTTAATGATTTTCTTTCCACTGTTAACACATTGAGAGCTCTGTTTGGATTTGCTCTTTGCAAGCTGTTCAGTCTTGATTTATCTTAATTTAACGATGCATCAAGAGGGGTGGTTTTCCCATATACCCCTTGTTGTTGATTGTATTCATTCTTATCTGCTTTCCAATGAAGCAATAAATTCTACTTGGGTCAGACTTCAAGAATTTAACATTTATAACCATCTATAAATAATTCACTGGTAAGGATTTTTAAAAAATATTGCACACCTGATTTCAACATCTTTTTTTTGACAAATTCCAAAGATGTTGATGGAATTTCATTCCCCTGGATGCAGTGTGGCACCAACTGAAATTTTCAGAATCCCCTCTTACTGAAACTCCTTGACACTTGCTTTCATCGAAGCTCATTTCAAAAGCATCAAGGCAGATGATCGTGCCTTCTCAAGACGTCAATATACTTTATAAGACCCAAATGCTGCTCTTCATTCTGTCAAGCTCCAAAGGTTCCGTTTCCATATTATTTTGCTTCATTTCAAATGATTGCACTTAAATTCCCAGCTGAGGATGGATAGACAGCCTTCTCTAATATACCTACATATCAAACAGTCACTACACTTAAATATTTGCTGTGTGGGAAGTGATTCGAGACATTTGATACGATGAGGTGTTATGTCAAATGCTACTAATTACTTATAAAGCTACCTACAATAATCAAATCCACTACTTTTGCAATAGATGTGGAGATGTGCAAATATAGTAGAATAACTTGACTTACTAACAAAGTGATGCCTGGCAGTCTATATACATTCAGGAATTCAATACTATGTTTGCTGTTAAAAAATTATCTGCAAATTACTGCACATTAGTTATGACATTGGTTGAAATAATTCCATTCCCTTTTCTTGAACTTTTTTGACTCCAACTGAAACACCAACAGTTTTTTGGTGATGTTCAATTTTTTTTGCAAGACATTTGTAAGAAAGCATGCATTTGCCTTTCACCTAGGAAATTAACTGAACTCTTAAGATGTAGTCTTATACTGACAAAGATTGTTAATTCGTGTTCATTCATTTGTTCCTTACTACTCCACCCTCTTGAAATCCTTTCTCTTGCTGTGAATTGAATATGTTCTTTATAGAGAAAAACTGTTTATATAAGAAGTTTATTTCTTCATTGTTCACAGAGTCTCCTATATNAAAAACACTCAGGCAAGTTTGAAGAAGTTCTCAAGCACCACATGTGATACTGAGGAGTTAGTTGAAGGTTAAAAACACATTATACTATTACAATTCCTAAGTTTCTATTAATAGCTGGACATTGGGGAGGTTGCTGCACGGAATAATAAGTGACAATGCCCAAATTGCTGCAAGTTTGCTGCATGACAATTCAGGGTATATTTTACGGTATTCTTGTTGGTATGATTTACCAATTGGGAGACTGGGAACATTTAACATTAAGGGGAGAATTCACACAGTAAACCTCACCTGAACTTGGTATAAAAGATCAGGATTTATTATTTAAATGGAACATATGACAATCTGACAAAACATGAAAAGAAGGGTTCATCCCAAAGTTTAGGATTTTAACATCTGTTGTGTGAGCCAGTTTCTTCAGGCTAATAAATAAAGCTGGAATTGAATTGTCAGCATATTGGGAACTGAATGTGTGAATTTAAACATGAATTCATAATGATTACCACCACTTTCAAACATATCTACTCAATCTTCCAATTGATCACAATCCATACTAAACTAGGGTGTAGACCAGGAAAATTGTGCAGATACATGGTCCATTATTATGCTTCTGCATTGGAACTATTCAGCCTATCAGACTAAATATGAGGTACTCCTGAGCTACTTTCATTGATCTCTTTTGGTAAAGGAAATACCTGTTGAACGAAATCTAGAGCAAGACTGTTGAGGCAGATTGATTACCTACCTAGGGAAATGAAGAAAATGGGACTTCCAGATGACATTTCTCTTTTTTTCCCCCAAATTTCCCAATTCACCACAGACCCTAATCCTGTACTGACCGTTGGGCATGCAACTCACATCACTCAAAAGTGCAGAGAATGAAGGGTAACACCTTGAGGAATAACACAGGACAACAAAGTAGATGAAAGGATTGATTCCAAGAATGCTTACCATCACAAACCAACCCCTTCACACCTTAGCGACTCTGACCTGCTTACCCCACTCTGCCTGCTTCATTCGCTTAGCTGGCACAAGCCTGCTGCATGTCCCTTGACCCCTCCGTGCCACCATTGGTCACTATTTTTATATTGATGAGCTTAGCACTCAAATATTTTGGGTAGGTGACCTTAATGGTGAAATATGTTATCTTGAGGATAAAGTAAAAGCAGCTCTCATATTTAGAATTGACTGCTATTCAACAGATTGTTGGAAGTATTCAAAGGAAATTAAGGTTAACAGAACTAAGACCTTATTCCATGGTTGACTATATTCCTCCTACTGGGATGAAAATCTAAAGTGAGATGGAAATGCTCCAAATTTTAGCCAGGTGGTATTCAACAAATAATCTGCAATGATCTTCAAACCCTCAAACTGCCCAGTTCAAAAAAAGCTACATGATTAATTCCAGCACTAATAATGTGAGACAATTGCATTGTGGAATACAACTGAGTGTAGAAATTACATTAATCAGTTTATAGGTGTAGCATTTAATTTTCAAAGTTAATTGCCATGTTGCATCCCCCAACACTGATTTGTGGGGTTCCCCAACTATGCAAATTTCAGATACAATATGCAGGTATTCCCCCCACAATATTCCTTAGAGTGTTATAGTGTTAAGTGAAACACTGCTTTTTAATCAAGCAAAAATTAAAATCCTTTAAGCTTGAATTATTACTATTATTACTGTATTGTTACAATAACCAATTCACTTAAAGAATTCTCTTGCTGTAGATTTCATTCAGCAAAGGTATTTTCCCTTACCAGGACCTTGGTTTAACCAATCTCCAACAGCACCTCCAACAGTCCAGCACACCCAGTATTATATTGGAAGTGTCAGCAAAGTTACAATTTGGGGCTTGAACCCACAACATCCTGATGTACAGGTGAGTGTTACCAACTAAGACAGGCCATGCACTGAAATTTTGGTTGCACCATAATCTTACATTACCAGTAGTATATGGAGAATACACGTTATTGAAGAAGTGATTACTGCATGATAGGACGAGTAGTCTTTCTACTAATACACACAAACATCTTTTGATGAGCATTATCAATAGAATTGTCAATAAAACATACAGAATTCTACTTATAGAATGTTAATGAAAAGTACTTCCAGGGCTTAAGACAACTTATTTAAGCAACAAAATATTTCCTTTATGACGGATGTAACCTTTCCATTGTCCCCATTCCAAACAATATTTTACTGACAAAAGGCCATACAAAGTGGCAATTCCATCTGTAGAATTACTTTCAACTCCACAATCTGTACTCAGTGTATACTACCACAGATTCAAAAACAAGCATTTTAGTGAATACACTGATGATAGTTATGTGCTCAGTACTAGTTTAGAACAAGGCTCGCTGTGCCTGTACTGTGTGATGTACACTCCAGTTTGATGCCACCAGTACAACATGAAGACGACAATAATATGCCAGCACTGATGACTGGACCCGAGGTAGTTGAGCTGCCCTGTAAGTGAACAGCAGATTGGGTCAGAAAACCGTCGTGCAATTCAATAACAACATGCATTTATATAATGCTTTGCATGGTAAATAAATGCTTTCAATACTTTACAAAAGAAAATGAATTAAAAATGTAAGTGAATGCTGTTAAAAGCAATTGTGTACCAGCAACACCCCACAACGACGAAAAGCCAATTATACAAACAAATTTACAAGTATATAACCACCTTTCACACTGAGATGTCTCAAAAGTGCTTCACAGAGCAGACAGAACCCAAGCTGTGTGTGGGGGTGGAGGTTGGGGTAACCAAAAGCAAGGTCTTAAAGATCTAAAAATTGGCTTTAATAGTGAGGAGAATTCACAAGAAACCAACATTTTTTCTTGCACCTTTTGACTACAAAAAAACCCGACAAAATCTACTGTTTTATAACAAACTGCAATGTTAGTGTAGTAAGGTGAAGATGAATGAAAACATGTCCACGAGGAGAAAGGGGATCATTTTTATTTGTGACCTATCATAATAAACTGACAGCAAATTATTTATGAATATGTAAATGTCACAAAAATGTCAGTCTCTAATCGCTCACCTGGAAAATACCTTTCTGGAATTTTTGTGACATACAGAAAAAAAGCCACTGCAGCCATCAAGTACATCGCAAACACACGGGGAGCAAATGCCTGCAAAATAAAGTAATCAACAAGGAATTGTTCATACAGATAGAAAAGGAATAAAATTAAAAAATAATAAACTGAATTGAAATTCAAACAATACTAAAATTAAAACTGAAGAAAATTCTACTATATCATTACACTGAACCAAAAATAGTAAAAGGACAACAATTATTAAGCCAAGTCTCTAAGCAGCACCATGCAGTACTATCCGTTCGTACACCATAAAGACACCATCAAGCTTAACCAATGGAGAGCATCAAGTAAGTCACTTTTTCATGCAAGCAACTTTGAGAAGTGCAATTACAGTTTTGTGCATATTCGATTTCTCATCTTAGATTTTTTTAAAAATATACTACTTCTGAATATTTCATTGTGCACTGCTCCAGCTCGAGGCATATCACTTTTGGTTTAGTTTGGCTGCTGATTTATATTAAGCAAAGCTGAAAAGTTGGTTTGCTTATAATGATGTTAGTAGGGCATAGGTGCCAATAGAGATGCTTTGTCCTACAATTAGAATCAGAAAGTTTACTACACATAAAGAAGACAGTATAAATGAGGCCATTTGGCAAATTATGTACATCTTGGCACTATGCTCTAATCCCATTCTCCCTGCTTGTTCCCTTCTAATCTTTATTATATTTCCCAAGTAATTATCTAATTCCCTTTTAAATGCTACTATGGATTTTAATCAAAAACCATTCAATATCTAAATGAGTTTAAACGAAAAAATTTGCAAATATTTGAATGCAACCATGTATAGATAATGATAAATGGAACAGATAATAAATTATTTTTCTTGAGTGTAAATAAACTTGCCCATTAAAATACTCTAAAAATACCTTTAATACTTGAATATAATGCAGTATATCTGCTCGGGTCCAAATCCCTGACTGTACAGTGCCTTGGGACATCCTCCTGATGTGAAAGGCGCTATACAATGTAATTTTGCATTGTATATTTGATAGGTTTCTGAAGTATATATACTGCAACAGCTGATTCATTATAATTAACTTCTTATTATAATGTTATATTATTGTTCTAAACACTGCACTATATGGTTGTCCAATACATAAATTGGGAATCCAAAAGTGGCAAAAATGCTTTTTTAATAAGTAAATAAAAAATGAGTAATCAACACGATCGTTGGGCATGTGTTCTCAATTATCATATTCGCATGGTATTTTCTACTAAAATTACTGCATGTGGCTGAAACAGTGTCGCCTGTGGTTAGTTAGCAAATTCTATTGGACCACACTGTTTTAATAAATAAGAGAATCAAATGTGTAATTATTGAATTGAGTATGACATAAAAGTCAAGACATTACACTCACCAGAACTATTGGAGCAGACCAGCCCCCATTCTGCCAAATCCAGTGAATTGTTGGGATAATCCCATATGCAGAAACACAGCAAAAGATGAGTGCACGTAGTTTATTCCACTGCTGAGTCAAGTAATACGGATGTATTTGTGCAAAGAATACTGCCAATATCATAGCAAGTATTGTGATTAGGTAGACCTGCCGCCAGTACTGCAACAAAAATAAAACAAAATAAATACAGATTTACAACCTGCAATAAACAGCAACCTTCATGTAAGGTTAATGTTTAAGCAAGGAAGAGGGGGCAGGGGAACATGACCATAGGCACTTTTGAAGAGGAAAGTTTTAAGAAAGGGAGGTTGAGGTGGAGGAGTGAGGGAGGGAGGTCCAGAGGTTAATGGCATAGTGACTGAAGGCTTGGCTAATGCTATTCATACGGAGAGACAGGAAACATTCAGCAGGCCAGTTAGCCGAGAGGAGCGGGCGAGTAGAAGAGCAGAGCAAAAGATTTAAGAGATAGGGAGGTTCCTAGGGCGTGAAGGGATTTATAGGTGACATGAGAATCTTGAAGTTAACCTGTGGGAGACAGAGAGACAGTGCAACCTGCCGAGGACTGGGTGATGGACCTGCAGACCTTGGCTGAGGTGATGATGCGAATATCAGAATTTAGGATTAGCTGGATTTTACAGAAGACGGGAATTGGGACTGACAGACAGGTAAAAGTGCAGCGCTAATGAATCAGTTGTTTCATGTTTAGAGGTAGCTCAATTTTTTTTAAAAATTATTGTTAAACTTTGTTTACACATTTACTTTCACTGCTCCATAACAACTCGAACGCTTCTGAAAATCTCATTACATTGATTACGATTTGCTTATTTTAGCCAAATAAGAATCCAAATGTCTGACTTGTATTGTCAGAATGTAGATTTTGTGGCCACATGGATGAGCTACGACAGAAAGTTTACCTTTTTCTCATTCACAGTCAAGTTTGTTGGAGGAGATTTTCACTTGCTAACATGCTAATTTAATTAATGCATTTGATACAGTGCCTTACCATGTCTTTGAGATGTCTCAAACTATACTGTAATGGGAATTGACCATGTATTTTGTGGGTGAAACACAGCAGCCAATTACGCACAGCAGTGTCCCACAAACAGTCATGACCAAATTATTATTATATTTTAGGCTTTTTTTGAAGGGATTATTACCCCGGGAAAAGCAATCCGTCAATCGGCTAACAACCGGGTTCCTACTTACTGCTAGGTGAACAGAGGCATGTGGAGTAAGGAAACTTGCTCAACACTTTTTTTCCTGCCCAGGAATTGAACCCAGGTCGTCTTGCTTGCAAGGCGAGTGCTCTAACCACTAATCTACAGGACTCCACAATGTGAATATTGCCCTGCGCTTGTGTGGCTGAATGTTGTAACATCACACATACAAACACTAAAATCAGGACCAAACGCAAAAGAGAAGGGGTAAATTATAATTTGTCATTATAAATACTTTGAACACAGAAGAGAAAATCCTTACCTCATTGCAGTAAAAAGCATAGAAGACTGCAGGGACGTAACAGCCTAAAATTCCTACGGCAATACCAGCATAATCGAGGGCTACCCAGCGCTGATTTGCTTTTTCAGAGCGATGACAGCAAAATACATGATACCCTACTGAACACAGCATACACACCTACAAGGCAAAATGTTAAAACTAAATGCAAAAATAACTTGAATATATTGGATATTTACACCGCAAGTAGCCAGTACAGTGTATCACAATCCCTTATATAACAACTTATATAGCGCCCTCCACGCAGGGTAGTGTCTCAGAATGCTTAAAATAATATGCTGGTAAAACGAATAATTGCACAACAATTAGAATAATTGTACAACAATTAGAAATTCTCACAAAAAAAATTCTGATTACAAGAGAATTTGGTGCGACTATTTACAAAAACACTATTCAAGTGTTATAAGTGGAAAAAACACATTTCTGAAGAGGGGCTGTCTTAATGATCATCAGTGCAGCATAACCATACAATAAAAGGTTGCGTTCATTTCCAGGCTTTGCTGATTTAGGCTTATTTCAGTACTGGAAGGAGTTAAGAGCTACAACTGCTCTTTAAACCAAAGAGGGGAAGAAATCCAGGGTTTCCAATTCTGATCGTTCCTATAAACTGTGATGTTTGAGAGTCTGATTAATAATTCCAAATGACTGGAAATTCATGCTACATGCTGAAAACTGTGTGGGAGAGGAAGTAAAGTTTAAAAAATAAAGTGAAGTTAGACTTATGAATCTTTAAGAATATTTATCTTTTTCTGAGAGTATCCTACATTAATGGTAAAGTGAACCTAAGAAACTAGAAGGTTCTTATGCAATGCAAAATTAGGTCACACCACAGATCCAGCTAGATGCTGTATAATATCCAGTTTCAATTCAATAATATACCATTGTGAATTATGATCCTCTTTCATTATATACATACATTATAAGATAATGTTATAGAAAATGATACAATACACAGGGGGCTGGTCAAGTTCATACTGAATTTGAAAAGCTGTAACTGCTATCAGATAATTGCAGGATTAGTCTTTTATTGTACTTTCACATTTTTTACATTAAGTAAAAGTTACATTAAGTTCACTCCATCAAAGAAAACTGATAATCCTGGAATCATATTTGTTGAAACACCCACCCATTTCAAAGCTACTTGCCTGGAAGCAGAAGAGACAGATAGAATATATAACATAGTCATCTCTTGAGGCATTTGCTTCTGGAAGTACAGTGGTCATGTCATAAATACCAAGGCTGAAGAACAGGAAAAATCCAAGTAGATGACTCCAAATATTGACCGATTCATTGGAAAGGATGAAAAGACTGCAGAGAGAAGTGTTCAGTTACACAGAATTATATACAATCTACATCACCATAATAGGACACTTGGTCTAACTAGTCCGTGCCTGTGTTTTTAGAGTCTCCATCCATCCTAATCCCCTCCCTTTGCTAACCTACCCCATACCCCTATATTCCCTTCTCCCTTGAGTATACATTGAGTTTCCTCTTAAATCCATTGATGCTTTCTACTTCAACTATGCAGTTTCGGTCTCCTTATTTAAGAAAGGATGTACTCGCCTTGGAGAGGGTACAATGTAGATTCGCTAGGTTGGTACCAGAAATGAGGGGGATGAGTTATCAGGATAGGTTGAACAATTTAGGCCTATATTCTCTAGAATATAGAAGAATGAGAGGTAATCTTATAGAAACCTATATAGAAACCTATAAGATTAAGGGGCATGACAGAATAGATAGTGGGAGACTTTTTCCCCTGGTTAGAGAAACAATAACCAGGGGTCACAGTCTTAAAATTAGAGGTAAGCCCTTTCACACTGAGTTGAGGAAACACTTCTTCACTCAGAGGGCAGTGAATTTATGGAATTCTCTACACCAAAGGGCTGTAGATGTTCAGTCCTTGAACATATTGAAGACTGAGATTGATAGATTTCTTGCGGATAAAGGGATTAAGGGATATGGGGATAAGGCGGGTAGGTGGAGTTAGAATAGATCAGCAATGATCTTATTGAATGGCGGGGCAGGCTCGAGGGGCCGAATGGCCTACTCCTGCTCCTAATTCTTATGTTCTTCTAGCATCGAGTTCCACATTTTCATCACTCTCTGTGTAAAGAACTTCCTCCTACACTTTATTTTAGATCTGTTAGTTGCTATCTTATATTTATGCCCCCTTGTTATGGACTCACCAACAAGTGAAAACAGTATATTTATGTTCACCTATTGAATCCCTTCATAATTTTAAATGCCTCTATTTGGTCCCCTCTTAATCGTTTTATCTTATGAGAAGAAAGGTCTAACCTATTCAGTATTTCCCGATAGTTATATTCTTTCATCCCTGGTAACATCCTAATAAATCTATGCTGCGCTTGCTTCATTGTCACAATATCCTCTTGTAGTAAGGTGACCAGAACTGTACACAGTACTTGTCTCTGCACAATATTAGTTAATATAAATTCTATGAAAATCAAAACCTACAGAAAGTCTAATTTACAAGTCCATAATTGTCTTCAAGTTACATTTTTCAAATAATTTGAAAAATAAGATACATTATCCAAAGCTCACACAAACTCTTTATCTTTTTTTAAGAGAATAATATCTGGGCAACTCTACACTGATACTAGAGATCTACATTTCTGCCATTGTATAAAGTTACCGACAATGATGCCTGCAGTTACAATGCAGCAAGCACCTGGTGTGCACAAGGTAACTGCTGCATTTCCCTATAACAAGAATAAATTACATTTATATAAAGCCGGGAGGGCGTTGCAAGGCGCTGGGATGCAGTCACTACACTGGACAGCTATTAACTGTTTGCTCTTAGATTAGCTCTTTTTGAGACTTTTTTTCAACATCATAGGCAATAAAACAAATACAAGGGTTATTTTTTATTTGGATGGCAACTTTACCAAACAGTAGAATTCCAATACCTAGGTGTCATGTCTATAGTATATCCTGTACGGTGTTGAATATACTCCAATAATTAGGTGCAATTTTTTTTTGAGATAATCACGTTATACATAGATTTTTTTCTGTTCATTATAATTGAAACATTCAAGAATATGCAAGTTTTATGTTCCTAAGAGAAACCAGAAATTCTTGAATTTATGACCCACCTTTTTAAGCACAGTTTGGAAGGTAGGTATGCCCTATATCCATCTGTAATGTAAGGGTTATCCTTGAGGAAGCATGGGATTTGTTCGTACGTGTACAGGCGGATGCCTCTAGGTATAAGAACAGGCCAATATTGGTAGTTTCCCAGTTCAATGTAGTGGGCACTTTTAAGTAACTTCTGAGGCATGATGCTGTAATTATAAAAGAAAATATAAAATAGATTATATTTACCAATTATTACTGTGATCAGTTCCATAAAATATGGTTTCATTAAAAATTAAACTGCTGGTCAGAGTATCAGTTATACAAGCTACTGAGTTCTAATTCAATAAATGAAGATTTCAAGCCATGTTAATAATATAACTAATCGGATAATTTGATTTATCCTCCAATAAAAAAAATTCAACAATAATATAACCGTAAATCATCAGGCAGCCATAAATCTCGAACAGCATTATAAGTTACAACCATTCCAGCACCAGATGATATCATTACCGTCATAAATTCCCAGCATCAGGTAATATTATGAGTGGTAACTCCCCGATTCCACATAACATGATTTATTCCAACTCCCCAACACCAGGTAACATGATTGTTTATAACCCACCAACCTGGGTCGCATAATAATAATAACAATAATAATAATAATCCTTGCATTTTTAATAGAGCACATATCAGGCTGTTGTGCGCTTCACAGAATATACTGTAAAGTGAATTCACTGAACTGTACATCTTGTGGGCGAAACACAGCCGCCAACGGCGCACGGCAGCGTCCCACAAACAGTCGGGGAACTGAAGCGGCCAAATTATTATTATTATTATTATTTTTGAAGGGATTATTATCCTGGGAAAAGCCACGCGCTACTCACAGCCATAGGTAACCAGGTGTGTGGAGTGAGGAAACCTCGGGTGAAAGGCGCTATACAAATGTAATTTGTTGTTGTTGTTTGGTCCCTCCAACTAACATCATCAGTTATAGTAATGATAATAACAACGACAACTCACCAACAAATGTGTTATTACACATTGTCTCAAACCCCCCAATAACATCAGGAACACTCTTACCCTGAACACCCCCCACACACACACACACCCACACACCCCCCGGCCCCACTCCCCCCCCCCCCCCCCCCCCCACACCCTCCCCCCCCACACCGCCCCACACCCCCCAGTCCCGGCCCCACACCCCCAGTCCCCAGTCCCACACCCCCAGTCCCCAATCCTGGGCCCCACACCCCCAGTCCCCACAGCCCCACACCCCCAATCCCCACAGCCCCACACCCCCAGTCCCCACAGCCCCAGTCCCCACACCCCCAGTCCCCACAGCCCCAGTCCCCACACCCCCAGTCCCGGCCCCACACCCCCAGTCCCCACACCCCCAGTCCCCACACCCCCAGTCCCGGCCCCACACCCCAGTCCCCACACCCCCAGTCCCCACACCCCCAATCCCCACAGCCCCACACCCCCAGTCCCGGGCCCCACACCCCCAGTCCCGGCCCACACCCCCAGTCCCCAGCCCACACCCCCAGTCCCCACCTGGCCCCACACCCCCAGTCCCCACAGCCCCACACCCCAATCCCCACAGCCCCACACCCCCAGTCCCCACACCCCCAGTCCCCACAGCCCGGGCCCCACACCCCCAGTCCCGGGCCCCACACCCCCAGTCCCCAGTCCCACACCCCCAGTCCCCAATCCTGGGCCCCACACCCCAGTCCCCACAGCCCCACACCCCCAATCCCCACAGCCCCACACCCCCAGTCCCCACAGCCCCAGTCCCCACAGCCCCACACCCCAATCCCCACAGCCCCACACCCCCAGTCCCCACAGCCCCAGTCCCCACACCCCCAGTCCCGGGCCCCACACCCCCAGTCCCCACACCCCCAGTCCCCACACCCCCCAGTCCCGGGCCCCACACCCCCAGTCCCCACACCCCCAGTCCCCACACCCCCAATCCCCACAGCCCCACACCCCCAGTCCCGGGCCCCACACCCCCAGTCCCGGGCCCCACACCCCCAGTCCCCAGTCCCACACCCCCAGTCCCCAATCCTGGGCCCCACACCCCCAGTCCCCACAGGCCCCACACCCCCAATCCCCACAGCCCCACACCCCCAGTCCCCACACCCCCAGTCCCCACAGCCCGGGCCCCACACCCCCAGTCCCGGCCCCACACCCCCAGTCCCCACAGCCCCAGTCCCCAGTCCTGGGCCCCACACCCCCAGTCCCCACAGCCCCAATCCCCACAGCCCCACACTCCCGGGCCCCACACCCCCAGTCCCCACACCCCCAGTCCCCACAGCCCCACACCCCCAATCCCCAGGGCCCCACACCCCCAGTCCCACACCCCCAGTCCCCACACCCCCAATCCCCACAGCCCCACACCCCCAGTCCCGGGCCCCACACCCCCAGTCCCCAATCCTGGGCCCCACACCCCCAGTCCCCACAGCCCCACAGCCCCAGTCCCCACAGCCCCACACCCCCACACCCCCAGTCCCCACAGCCCGGGCCCCCAGTCCCGGGCCCCACACCCCAGTCCCCACACCCCCAGTCCCCACAGCCCGGGCCCCACACCCCCAGTCCCGGGCCCCACACCCCCAGTCCCCACACCCCCAGTCCCCACACCCCCAATCCCCACAGCCCCACAGCCCCAATCCCCACAGCCCCACACCCCCAGTCCCCAATCCTGGGCCCCACACCCCCAGTCCCACAGCCCCACAGCCCCAGTCCCCACAGCCCCACACCCCCACACCCCCAGTCCCCACAGCCCGGGCCCCACACCCCCAGTCCCCACAGCCCGGGCCCCACACCCCCAGTCCCGGGCCCCACACCCCCAGTCCCCACAGCCCCAGTCCCCAGTCCTGGGCCCCACACCCCCAGTCCCCACAGCCCCAATCCCCACAGCCCCACACTCCCGGGCCCCACACCCCCAGTCCCGGGCCCCACACCCCCAGTCCCCAGTCCCGGGCCCCACAGCCCCACACTCCCGGCAACACCCCCCCAGTCCTGGGCCTCTCTCCCGGACACTCGCGGGAATCTTCACCTTCACCAAATGCGACGCGTCAAAATCATCCACTGTCACCGGAGAAACAGAGCCCACAATCACCCACTCACCCACTCACCACCACACACACACTCACCCCCACTCACCCCCACAGCCCCACACACACACTCACCCCCACACACCACTCACCCACTCACCCCCACAGCCCCACTCACCCCCACACACCCCCTCCCCCTCACCCCCACACACACACTCACCCCCACAGCCCCACACACCCCACAGCCCCACACACCCCCACAGCCCCACACCCCCCCCCTCCCCCTCACCCCCACAATCACCCACTCACCCCCACACACCACCCCCCCCTCCCCCCCACACCCCCCCTCACCCTCACCCCCACACACCCCCACAGCCCCACTCACCCCCACAGCCCCACACACCCCCCTCCCCCACAGCCCCCCCTCCCCTCACCCCCACAGCCTCACAGCCCCACTCACCCCCACAGCCCCCCTCACCCCCCCCTCACCCCCACAGCCCCACTCACCCCCACACACACCCCCCTCACCCCTCACAGCCCCACACCCCCCCCCCTCCCCGTCACCCCCTCACCCCCCCCCTCCCCGTCACTCCCTCACCCCCCTCCCCGTCACCACCTCACCCCCCACCCCCGTCACCCCCTCACCCCCCCTCCCCGTCACCTCCTCCACATTCACCCCCCCCACCCCCCCCCCTCCCCGTCACCCCCCACCCGCCCCTCCCCACCCTCACCCCCTCCCACACACAGCCCCTCACTCCCCCCACACAGCGCCCCCCCCCCCCCCCCCATCACCCCCTCCCACAGCACCACACCTTCCCAGGGTCACCCACTGCCCAGTGTCACCCACTGTCCAGAGTCGCCCACTGCCCGGGGTCACCCACTGCCCAAAGTCACTTACTGCCCAGGGTCACCCGCTGCCCAGAGCCACCGCTGCCCAGAGTCACCCACTGCCCAGTGTCACCCACTGCCCAGTGTCACCCACTGTCCAGAGTCACCCACTGCCCGGGGTCACCCACTGCCCAAAGTCACTTACTGCCCAGGGTCACCCGCTGCCCAGAGCCACCGCTGCCAAGAGTCACCCACTGCCCAGTGTCACCCACTGCCCAGAGTCGCCCAATGACCAGAGTCAATCACTGAGCAGGGATCATCCACTGACCAGGGACACCCACTGACCAGGGACACCCACTGACCAGAGCCCAGAGTCACCCATTGCCCAGAGTTATCCACTGCCCAGGGTCACCCACTGCCCAGGGTCACCCACTGACCAGAGCCCAGAGTCACCCATTGCCCAGAGTTATCCACTGCCCAAAGTCACCCATTGCCCAGAGTCAAACACTGCCTAGTGTCACCCACTGCCCAGGGTCACCCACTTACCAGGATCACCATTGACCAGAGTCACCCACTGATCAAAGCCACTGACTGACCAGAGCCACCCACTCACCATGGTCACCCAATGACCAGAGTCAACCACTGAGCAGGGTTACCCACTGCCCAGAGTTACCCATTGCCCAGGGTCACCCTCTGCCCAGAGTCACCCACTGCCCAGAGCTAACCACTGCACAGAGTCACCCACTGCCCAAAGTCACCCACTGCCCAGAGTCAACCACTGCCCAGTGTCACCCACTGCCCAGGGTCACCCACTGCTCAGTCACCCGCTGCCAGGGTTACCCACTGACCAGCGTCACCCACTGCCCAGGGTCACCCACTGACCAGGATCACCCACTGACTAGAATCAAGGGGCACCCACTGACCAGGGTCACCCATTGACCAGAGTGACCCAATGACCAGGGTCAGCCACTGACCAGGGTCACCCACTGACCAGGGTAATACACTGACCAAGGACACCCACTGACCAGAGCCCAGAGTCACCCACTAAACAGAGTCACTCACTGACAAGCATCACCCACTGACCAGGGTCAAGAACTGACCAGAGGCCAGTGTCACCCATTGACCAGTCACCCACTGCCCAGAGTCACCCACTGACCAGAGTCACACACTGCCCAGAGGCATCCACTGACCAGGGTCACCCACTGACCAGAGTTACCCACTGACCAGGGTCACGCTCTTGCCCCTGGGTCAGAAAGTCCCAGTGTGGGTTTGAGACCCTCAGTGAGCCTTTGAACTAATACTAGGCTAAGATGGCTCCAGGTTCGGCCTTCAATACTTTGATGCTCATACCTAAACACCTTATTCAGTGTGTTCATTAGTGATGTATTGGATGTCATCAGGAGGGATGGATCTGATGTATCTGTTCAGACATTCCTATAATAATCCTTGCATTTGATACAGCAGCATATCATGTCGAGACATATCAAAGTGTTTCACAGGATGTACTGTGAAATGGTTTGACAGTGTATTTTGTGGGCGAAACACGGTGGCTAGTTTGCACACAACAATATCCCACAAACAGCCACGGAGTGATTGACCAATTTTATTCGGGGCATTGTTGGTCAGAACACCAGAGATACTCCCTTCTCTTTTCGAATGTGGGATCTTTACCATCCGCCTGAACAGGCACACAGGACCTGGGTTTAACTTCTAATCTGAAGGACGGCACCTCCGACAATGAAACACACTCCCATCGCTGCATTGGAGTGTCAACTTAGGCTATGTAATTCCAAGTCCTGACATGGGGCTTGAACCCACAATCTTCTGCTTCTGAGACAAGAGTGCTACCTCTGAGCCGAGCTGAATTGCAGCACGTCTGTTTGCAGATGATGTTGTACTTTTGGCGGAATCTGGGTCCTGCATTCGTTACCTTGACCACTGGGCCACTCGGTGGTGAGTGTCCCCAAGTGCACTATTATTGTTATACTTTATTTTAGCTCACAAAATACACAATCCAATTCACAATATAGTCTGTGAAGCGCTTTGAAAAGTTTCAACGACGTGATGAGGCACTACCAAATGCAAGGATTATTATTATTATTGCTTGGCATGGAAAAGCCAGCTTGGTTTCTTGGCAGTACTTAGAGACGGACTGGGACAGGGATTCTTTTCACTTGGCTCCTATTAGACAAAGCTTTCAGGTAGGCTGCCAGCAGTCTAATTTAAGAAAGAAAAGAGTCTCCTAC